ATGCATAAAAAAACGTTATAATTACAAGGTTTACTCCTTATACCTAGATTATAGGTTTAATCACAAATTTAGAAATTTCTAAGTTAGATCATATCTCCAAGCAAGCCTGGACCATCACAGCATTGATCTAACAAAAAATATACTTCTTTAAGGGATATAATATCAATTATATTAAATAATATAACCAAATTAATGTGGCAACAATTAAATTAGTTAACATTACATATATTACTTACATAATTTGTATTGGATCTTCAAGGGCAACATTACTTATTAGCTATTACCAGCAAGCTGGACTCCCCCCCCTACCCTAGCTTGGTTTGCTTTGGACCGCTGCACATTGCTTAATCTAAATCAAGCTTAGACCTTAACCAGATTAGTCGTGTGAAGTTGCCAAACACATGTTAAAGGAAGAAACCGATTTCGCCGATAACTATTTTTTTCATGTAATACCACAGATAAATTGCGCTTTGACACCATAAAGTTTTCAACATTTTTAAAATTTGTTCGTACCGTGATAGGTTAGATTATTTGACTCTTTTTATGCTCAAAACCTCTTTCTTTCAGAATTGATAATTATAAATTTTTTAGTAGCTATAAAATTAAAGTTATAAGAAGATCAATGCATCAAACGTGCCAAAATAGAGTTTGCAACATCATAGTTCAAGAAGGGATGAAACTTTATGGGCACCAAAAGTGCAACGAGCTGCCTAACCCTTTATTTAGTCGTAAGGTCTTTTCAAGAGCCCCCCCAAACACCCACCCCACCCACCAACCCCACACGAAAAAAAAAAGACAAACCCCCCCCCCCTAACACACACACACAAAAACTGCATTTGAAGTAGGCATCACATGTATTCTAGACGGAAATTTCCGTCTAGAATACCTGGTTTTTTTTTAAAAAAAAATAAAAAATAAAGAAACCGTCTAGGATACTATTCTAGACGGAATTTTCCGTCTATAATGTTTTATTCTAGACGGAATATTCTAGACGGAAAATTTCCGTCTAGTTTAATACATTCTAGACGGAAAAAATTCCGTCTAGAATACACGATTTTCTACTAGTGAATGTATTAATCTATTTTTAAACCTCGTAAGAAACATATGGATCGAGAGGATTTTAAATGAAAATTTCTCAAACTTCAAAGATTGTCTTTAGAGAAATTTTAATTTTTAACTAGCAGCTTTCTCTAATTAAGCACAATTTAGATCATGCAAACTTCAAAGGCTTGGACATTTTGTAAATTAATAGAACACCTCGTAGGGTGCGCAGTGGGAAGTGAGGGACCTGCAAAAAATAGGTTGTATTTGAAGATCATCTCTGAACTTTGCTACGTGGGATGAACTAGAAAACAACAGTGGGTACTAACTCTGACCCAAGAGCAACCGTAGAAAAAAAAGGGAGGGGATTTTCTCCTAACCTAAGCGGGTTGCGTTATCTACCAGCAGCTTGATATCTCTTAGCCAGAGGGTGGGTGCCCCACGCTTCTCTAGAAGATGACCAAGGGGGATAACACTAACTAGGGAAAAAAGAGCAAATACAACCATGGATCCACTTCAAATGCATGTTTTTGTGTGTGTGTGTTGGGGGGGGGGTTGTCTTTTTTTTTTTGTGTGGGGTGGTGGGGTGGGGTGGGGTGTTTGGGGGGGCTCTTGAAAAGGACTACACTAAATAAAGGGTTAGCAGCTCTTTGCACTTTGGTGCCATAAAGTTTTCATCCTTCTGAACTATGATGTTGCAACCTCTATTTTGGCACTTTGATGCCTTGATCTTCTTTTAAACTTTAATTTTATAGTACTAAAATGTAAATTATCCAATTTGAAAAGAAGGTTTTGAGCAT